CACCCCTGTTTTTCATTTTTTTGAGCACTTTCCCAAAGGAGGACCACTTTTCCGTAATACGATTTGTTTTTGCATATTACATCTCGGTCACAAAAAGTTTATTCAAAAGTTGGTCCTCGGATGGGAAAGTGTTGAAAGTATTTTTTTAACTCACGGAAACCCCATCACTTTCATAGATATAGTGTATATGGCTATATTTGCAGTATCATATTAGCCATACCTAATTTCTCAGCAGTTTAAAAATTCATATTCAATTGGTTTTGTATCTTTTGTATGCATTTTTGCTACACGAAATGTTTTACTCCTAAAAAATTCCCGTTTTCATAAATGCCGATTTTGAGAAATACGGGCAGTTTTCCGCCATACCTCTTTGATGGAAAAGACTTAAATTTTACAGACCATCATAAGCATAGTTTTAATTCAAACGCCAAGTGGGGGGATCCTATTAATGCCATTTATAGTTCAGTTATGAAGAAAATTAACGTCTTACGGAGATTGAAATATTTGCTGAATAGGAATAGTCTTCTAACAATTTATAAATCATTCATTTTACCACTTCTAGAATATGCTTGTGAATTATGGGATGGTTGCACTAAATTTGAATCAGAAAAATTAGAGAAAGCCCAAAGAGACTAGCTGCTCGAATTATATCCGGTCTTCCTTCATATGCCCGTATCGAAGATTTACATTTTGAAACGGGTTTAGAAAGTCTTTCTAATTGTCGAAAACGTAGAAAACTCCAACTTTTACTCAAAATGCAAAACAACTTAACTCCAGATTATTTAAACGATCTCCTGCCACCTATTATTGCAGAAAATAACAGGTACACTCTTAGAAATAACAGTGAGTATAGAGTTCCTCTATTTGGGCTTTCTCTTACCAATCTTTCCTTTATACCTTCCACTCTTCGTAGCTGGAACTCCATAGATCTATCAGTACGATCGTTGCCTTCTATACATTTATTTAAAAACTCTCTCACCTCAAATTTACAACCATCTCCTCCTATCTACCTCCGTTTTGGAGAACATAAATTAAATATTATACATACTAAACTGAGGCACAATTGTAGTTCCCTTAAGTATGACCTTTACAGAGTTAATCTTGTCAAGAGTCCATTTTGCATCTGTGGACATCCATGTGAGAATGCCTTTCACTTTTTCTTTGAGTGTCAACTTTTTAGCAATGAAAGGCGTATTTTGTTTCATAATATGAATGCCCTAGGTATAGATTTAAATTTAGAGATCCTTTTATTTGGCAATCCAGATCTTTAGGTAGACCTTAACTCTGAAATTTTTAGACATGTGCATCACTTCATAAAATCCAGCAAAAGATTTTGAACGGTGCTTTTTTAAAGTTGTGTAACTTGTGCCCAATCCCTTGTTCAATTTTATTGGCAATAAATATGTTTAAAGTAAAAGTAAAGTTGACCGCGTTGAACTTGTGATGTCACATGTCTGGGACACCGAAACGGTGTCATTGCTGTAGGGCCACAGGGGAGATTTCAATAAATATCGTGATTTCTCTGAAACGAAAGTCGCTATGGCGTTCGCGCTTTCTCCACTTTCTGTTTTATGAAGTGGTGTATTTTCAAACTTAATATTGCCAATAATTCCGGGTACACTTTAAAGAGTGCATAACATACTATCCATGTTGTGGTATTAAGTGTTCTATATAAGCTGTATTAACTTTTGATTTCTTTTCAATATTTTATTTAATAAAGAACAAAGTGCAAATAAACAGAATGGGTTGTTTTTTCTTCGAAAAGTGTCATGGCGACTGTTGCGCACGTGGGTCCGATATGCATGCATAGCCGACGTGCCGATTATTGAATGTACAGGGTACACTAAAATGTTATCATTCAACACCTTGAAATAAATACCTGCTGACTAAAAATCCTATATAAGTATAGGGCATAGATTCATTGCTCCGTAAAGTTGATTAAAGACATATTTTCTGTGTGATCAATGTAAATAGTGTCATGGCGGCCATGCGTGCAAAGTGCACGTGAAACGTCTAAATCCTCACTTCTCCATCGTTTTGAAAAATGCATTCTCACAGTATTCAATTACAGACATGACATATGGTTGTGCTAACTTACGGTCTGAAAAGATCTTTTCTTAGGCGTAAAATGCGAGCAGTTGATAGTCGATGCACAGGGGCTTGTATAAACTTCCTTGATGATAAATTACCATGAAAGTGTGGAGGATTATGTGATGTTGAATATACAATTATATTGAGATGACCGTTTTGATGGTTGATATACCATTCCTTATTTTTTATAAAAAAAAATAACAGTTTGAATTTCCCGGTAAATCAGCACTATGGACTTCGAAGTCAGCCATTCTATAATCCAGTTCGCCCAGCCATATTGTCGCGTATCGGAGAATTAATGTAAACTAGAGCAATGTCAGTTCATATTTGATGTGTGTGTCAATCTGAAAAGTGTGTCAGAAATGCGTGACTTTTTTGATAGGGTAAGCTTCTTGTTTATTTATTGTTTGTCTCGCAGCAATTGTATGTATGCAGAAAACCATTTTGAGTAATGGCGGCAATACCTTTATGACAGACCGTTTACACATTTCAACACTAGGTGGTGTTAGTAACGTGTTGGAAGATTTAGACCAATCAGAATGCTAGGATTGTAGCTGTACACAGGCTTCAGAGGCGTTGACAATAGGCTGCAACGTAACGCATTTAGCCTAAAAATGGTTTTATGATTGAAATAATTGTGTTCTTTTTTCAAAAGGAATTTTAAGTTTACTCACTACACATTTTAACTTTTTTTAAATAGGATACACATACATTAAAAAACACTTCTGACTTGTATGGCTGTTTTATGAACACTTACCACACTTCCAAATAAAACTATCCCTAGAAAAATGTAAATCTGTCAGATCACTTACACACATATTATGAAACCATCTGTCACAGCCAGCATCACAAGAAACAAAATCATCAAAGTACATTTGAGATGTGACACCCATCTGCTTCGCAATCCATAACAATGTCAAATGATAAAGAAGTCTTCTTTTGCCTATGCCTACTCATTTTTTCCTAGGAAATTTAATAAAGATTCCATTGGAATACATTCCACAAGATGTTGTCTCATGCAAGTGGTGTCAAATTCTAACTCTTCACTCTCGTTAAACCCATTGAAACAAAATTCTACCAAGTTAGCAATAGCAAAAACCCCACAGTCAACCCCGTTTTTCTGATGTTGCACATTTGGTAATACTGTTTTCAAAACTTTTCTAAGAAGCTGACAAATGACCCTTCTGTTTCGTATTTCCAATCAAACTATCAAGAATGTATACTTCCCCACTATCTACCTCCTGTACTGACACTACCCAATGGTCCTCGCCTTCCCCACTATCTACCTCCGGTACTGACACTACCCAATGGTCCTCACCTTCCCCACTATCTACCTCCGGTACTGACACTACCCAATGGTCCACGCCTTCCCCACTATCTACCTCCTGTACTGACACTACCCAATGGTCCTCACCTTCCCCACTATCTACCTCCGGTACTGACACTACCCAATGGTCCTCGCCCTCCCCACTATCTACCTCCTGTACTGACACTATCCAATGGTCCTCCTCTTCCCCACTATCTACCTCCTGTACTGACACTATCCAATGGTCCTCGCCTTCCCCACTATCTACCTCCGGTACTGGCACTACCCAATGGTCCCCGCCTTCCCCACTATCTACCTCCTGTCCTGACACTACCCAATGGTCCTCACCTTCCCCACGATCTTCCTCCTGTACTGACACTACCCAATGGTCCTCGCCCTCCCCACTATCTACCTCCTGTACTGACACTGCCCAATGGTCCTCATTTTCCCCACTATCTACCTCCTGTACTGACACTACCCAATAGTCCTCGCCTTCCCCACTATCTACCTCCTGTACTGACACTACCCAATGGTAATCGCCTGTATGATGAATTTGTGCTGATGCAGCGCTAGTTGTTTTTCAAAATTGGAGCATAACCTGCATTTTGCATTCCGCCTATATTAGGAAACTGTTTCTTTAAATTATCTTGTACGTAACACATGATATTACCACATAGTTTGTTATCAATTAATAAATCATTTTTATCCTTAAAACTTAACGTACTTTTACCGTTATCCATTCAGATACGTCTTGTTTCTGCGGGCTTAAAAAGCGACGGTCTGTCATCCGAAAGATCCACTAACATATCACTTACATTCGGTTTGTTCTTTTTTGGTAATGAAAGTCGTCTTCTTTGTTTTGCCTTAGGACTGGTACTTACAACTGGTTCAGATATACTTACACCATCACTACATTGTATGTCTGCTACTGACTCAGCTATAATACTTACATCTTTTGTATCTTCTTTTCCTTCTATTATGTTTGACAATCTCTTACGGGTTACGGAAAGTCTAGACCTAGGTATTGGTTTTCTTGGAGTACCAATATCAGAATTATCGTTGAGAGGAACTGACTTTAATTTCACATACTGTAGATTAAAGAATTATTATGGAGTATCATTTACCTTCTACATCTAATAAGCTTGTGGCGTTTGGTGTGTTGTGATAAAGAGATTATTCTCTTATTCATTACATGTAAAAAAAAAAAAGCAGATTATTAAATGAAACAGAAATAATGAAATAGTTGTATAAAAAGTTTTTTTTATATATATATTAATGCATATTTAGCACGGGTCTTGAAGGAGTGATGTCCCCTTGGCATGGGTAGGGGAATAAACAATACACCCGCGATCACAACAAAGTCAGAATTCCATGTGAAATATGTCGTTTATTTCAACGAAACTTACATAATTATAAACAGTGAGCTATTTTGTTCTATATACCTGAAAATAACATGTAATTTTTCTCAAGATATCTAATAATATGTGAAAAACCGTGATTTTCACGGTTGACTGCGGCGTACAAGTTTTACCCCCTTGATATACACATTATCGTCAATTTCTAAATTATTAGATGATAGATAGACATTTTTGTAACTGTCACATTTTTAAAAAATATAAACGATCGCATCAATGAGATATTAAAATATCTCGATATGCCTGGTACGGGGTTTTGGGACGGGAGCGGCGTACAAGATTTACCTACCACCGATGTAGGCTTAGTTATTTATTGCTGACTCCTAGTTAGGGTCACCACGTCGTCGAAATTGAAAATAAAGAATGAACAACATTTCTGACCGAGTTATTACATGTTACGTTATGTATATCAATGTAAATGTTCGGTTAAAATCTAGCGGTTCTGAGAAGTTGGTTCTGAGGAAGCAATGCACGTATTCCGGATTATGTCAGCAGTCGTTCGTTTTTAACACTTCGTATTCGTGTCATATTTCCGGTGAATTGTTTTTGTCGTTGTTTCGGATTGATCAGCAGGTAGGTCTAACTGACGTTTAATTGTTTAGACACTAAAAAGGTTACAGCACATTTGACATAACAAATGAACCATCTGGTATGATACACGCAGAACAAATTGCATAGTCGAGATCGTCTGCATAGAAATAGCCTGCCTTCTTTTTTCTCCATATTATCTGCATATACCACTCAGGTGCAGAAGACTTATTCATGGTTGATCTGTTAATTGGCTGTCTGAAAAACAAAATAATAACAATTTTATCACAGTAACATTACTTGACTTTGTCGGAAGCAATGTTCAACAGACATGCTGCTACTGCAAACACCGTCTTTGTATCGTATATATCTGGTCCAGTACACAAGACTAGAGGTGTGCGACGAAACGGACCAAAACGAAATATAATATACACAATATATAGGCCTACACGACAAATAAAGAAACACAGCTCAAATTTACAAAAAAAACACATTTACAATTTCGTTTCGGTTCCGATCAGGGTCCGTTTTGTTCACACACAATCTAAACTGTATTGAATTCCCTTTAAATAGACGAATCAACACTTCGCTAATTGATGATGTAAGCGGCCCTGCGAAATTCTTTTCGGTTAAAAATCGTAGCCTCGTTCTGGTTACGACGTAAACATTATTGTCGTATTTCCTGATTCTTTGATATCGTTTTAAGTACATTTTTATATGAATCTTATCACTATAAACACATTTATGAATTAACCATGGATCCAGGTGACCAATCTTTATCTTTAGACGATATGAATCTTATCATTATAAACACATTTATGAATTAAACATGGATCCAGGTGACCAATCTTTATCTTTAGACGAAGTTAAAACTTAGCTATGAAGCAGTTCTTGCCCGTTCTTGTCGTACCGTGGACTTCCTACAAAGGGGACAAAAGAGGAGGAGCCTAAGTGCACTAGGCCTATGTTAGGCCGTCCAGAAAATGAATATCAGCAAAGTTTGAACATCATGTCAGTTGTTAGAGCAAAGCAAGTGAAACTAGAGTATTTTTTTGAACATTGTTGATGTCATTATTACCCTAAAGATCCAATGTTTATATATCAGATGGCTGGCTTGATGAAAAGGACGATATTTCAATATGTGGCCCCCTGTATTTTTTGCCAGACATCGTGAAACTTTTTATGGCGACAGCTGATCTAACTACAACTCAAAAATCCTTAAACACAGTGGCGGATCCAGAGACCTATCGGGGGGGGGGGGGGTCGGTGGGGGAAAAAGTTGAGGAAAAAGGGGAAAATACATTAAAGCCCAAAAAAAACCTTACCTATATTTTTCATCAAACTTTCTCAAAGAAGTGTGCTACACTCTACTGTTGGAGATGGCTGCGTTAAGTGTATTACTCCATCAAAAGCCTGAATAATGATGATGACCATAATATGTGAGTGTGTGCAGATAATGAAATAAGAGGGGACAAACAAATTTTAATAAGGATCTTTTTGTTTAAAAAAAAATGTAACGTTATATTAGAAAGGAAGGAAAATCAGGTAAGAGAAACAAGAAAATAAAGATAGGTAAATGGACAGAAAGAAAGACAGACCACAGGGACACACAACTACTATTAATATTAACCTATTTTAGGCTTTTAGTCGCTGGGTACGTATAACCTAAAAGCGTGCCCCTTTGGACAGACGGAAAGATAGACAGACAATAGGAGAAGTACCAGTATTAAACAAACCAATGTAAAGGATAGAAGTCTGGTAATATATAGATGTCAGTAGCCAAGTAATTAAGATAATATGTTTCAATTTTGTCCTTTTTTTTCAAATAAATTTAAATAAGATCAAACATATAATTGGCAAAATGTAGGTCTAGGAAATATCAATAAGCCTTTTCCACTTGTTCCACTCATTCTGGAAGTTAATGAGATATATTTCGTCTTTACTATTTGCAATATATTTTTGAATACTGTAATGTTCTTTANAGAACTCAAAATTTTGTTTCCAATGAATAATTCAGAAAGTGTTAGCAAAACTAATATCTAGATTGATTATACAGTAAAATGAGTTTAGTTTTTTAATCAAGAGAGCCCACAATTGAATCCCAACAGTAATACAAGTGTTTTATGATAACTGAAATTATAATTATAATAAACATATATATATCTATCTTTCTTTGATTCTGCTTCCTTGCTTTGGAAAATATCTGAAATGCAGAATAATTAACATAAGAACTCTTCTTTGTTGGAGATACAGTATCAAGTGATGACTCTTTATAAATTATGCAGAAAGTCAATAAAAATCATATTATACTACCATTTTGCCAGCATGAGTTTTGTATCATAAAGGGGTTTGGTGATACGACGATGGATAATATCAAGGAATAGCTGAATCCATATTAAATATACCAGCAGCGATGAGGCAGATGTCATCCTGGTGGTGGGAATGTGTAAGTGGCATACTTTAAGAATACAAAAACTTTTCAAGTCTTGGTATTGCCTGCGATAAATTCTTCTGTAAGCAATTTGCTTTGTAATTTGAACATCAGATGTGGTCAATTTGGACACATACACCTCTTCAACCTGGAGGAATGAGCAGCTCTACAGTTAGGAGGTCAAGATCCTCTCTTATTGGGAGATACCACTTTTAATATGTGTAGTATTTTTGATGTTGAATTTTGTTGTCAGTGGTTGTTATACCATGCCATTTTGAATTAAATGGATACTTGCAATTGATGCATTGACATAATTATACACATATATACTGGTAATATTTGGCTTTTGATTTTATGGTCAGGCAGTTGTAAATATTTGTGTTTCCAAAGCAACATTAATCCAATCACCCACCCCCACACACACAAAATAAAATAAAATCATAGGAAACACTAATATTTTCCAACACAAGTTGAAAATCTTTAAAAGTCTTAAATAGCACATGAAGTGCAAAATGCAATATAACACGGGCATGTGCTTATTAATACTTAATGCAACAGATGTGTTAAGATAGGACTCAATAAATATTTTAAAACACTTTCAATACAGACAATTGATCCCAGCAGTTGCATGCAACTTATATATGATAACTGTTAAGTTTTTGAATACCTTACATTTTTATAGTGACTGATAAATCAATGACAGTATGTTTGGACCCTTCCCAAACTCAGTCCTTTAATAATGAATGCCTGAAATTATTCCTGCTTGCAATTTATATAAATACTATACATACCTGCATATTTATATTATATATACCTGTACATTACAAGATTTTTAAAAAAAATATTAAGCATATTTTACTGCCTATTTTAATTAAACAATGGGATTAAGTTAAACAACTTATACAAAGCCCTTTCCCTCAATAAGCAAATTGTCCTTGTAGTGGTTTAAGATTTTAAATGCATGTTATATGTAAGGATGGAAGATACTGTGAGTTTATGTTACATAGCATATATTATAGTGATGTCAAAAAAATATAACACTACAAAATCTGTATTGTATTTTGATGTGCATTATGTTATCTTGCACATTTGTTTATCATGGTCATATGATGCTATTTACAGGGACTCAATCAAGTTTGAGATTGTGAAGAAATAAAACATTTGTCAACTTCAGTCATCTTTTAAGTTTATATTCATGCACAGGGATTCGTTACAAATGTTTAAAATACACATATATACATGCTATACTGAGATGGATCACAGTCATGTGTGCTGTCATATTTCGATTCACGCACGTAAAAAAAACTAAAATACACATCTGCTATACACACACATGTGCTGTAGCCCATATCAGTATGACATATAAATATGTGTATTATTCACGTACGTACCGTATCTAGAATCTTTATTAGGATTATCCGTGTTTTCAAACACGTTTCCAAGAGAGTAACATATCGGCTGTCATAAGGAACCGTAGATATAGCCCCCCTTTTTGTGTTTATTTTCTACATTAAAATTTCGCCTGTTGGGATTTTGTTTAACCAAATTTTTCCGGTTTTTACCCGGGTTTTTTTCGGGGCCACTTGCGCTCTGCAAAAATTCAAGATGGCGAAGGCGAAGTGTTGATTCGTCTTCCGTTCTGGTTTCGTTTTAGTCCGTTTCGGTGATTCGTCGCACCGACTAGAAAGCACTCTAATGATCATACACAGGACTAGAAATCACTAAAATCATCATACACAAGACTAGAAAGCACTAAAATCATCATACACAAGACTAGAAAGCACTAAAATCATCATACACAAGACTAGAAAGCACTGAAATGAGGGTACCGCTATAATGATCATACAAAAGACATCTCCCAGTTTTGTATGGAATCGACCCATAGTTTTCACCTGTTTCACTTTCCTGAAAAAACAGCTATTGGTTGAACTGTTTTCTTTTTTTTCATTCATGTTTTTCACTACATTTACACCCAATAAACATTGAACAATTCAAAAACTGCTTAAACATACAAACATAAAAAAAAATCATCATAGCATTTTTCAATAATTTAAGTGAAATAGAAAAATTTGAAGTGCATATATTCATTCAAACATAACATACTGTAACAGCTAAGGAATTTGAGGGAAACATACTGTCTACTGGCAAGCTAGCTTTTCTAGCGATGAAGTATAACCTGGGGACCTGCTCACTAGTTCAGCAACATCGAGCTCGAGCGTGGTCAGTAGTTGGATGGGTGACCGCCTGCTTGTTACAATACAAAGGGATCTTGAAAACATGAGACAATTTCAGAAAGTTTTCAACCTGTTTAATGTACTCACAAACAATGTAAACGATAGTTTGGGATCAAGATGTGTGAATTAATTCCTTTAAAACTCTTCACATTTTTGCAGGGTGACACCAACAATTTGTAAGAGAAAATTTTCCCCGATATGGGATAGACACGCCTGAGGACCTAACGATGGCTAACATCTTGTTGGCGGCTACCATTGTCTATATTCTTTCCACATTACTGCAGTTCTGTCAAGGTAAATTGAATTTTAAGAAAATATACTTATGTAAGTTATAAGTGTAGTGTAGGTTTTCAAAGCTTGGTACTTTCGACATTTGAACTTGACTGGTCACCACTGGTTAGCTCAAAGGCTGGTCACAAGAGTGATTGCACTGAACTGTAGACCAGTAGACCAGTAAACAAGTAGACCAGTAGACCAGTAGACCAGTAAACAAGTAGACCAGTAGACAGTCACCTTCATAAACACTTTTTGTGCATGAATAACATTTTTTTCGAATAATTGTCAAAAATCATTTGACTTGCAAAAAAAATATTGAAATAAATTTCTGAATTTCAGGACAAATTTGCAAGTACCATCATTTGCATGCTGACTGCTATTACAGAATCGATGGAATCTGTCTCTCCCATATCACCGTTGACATTAACCAGTGTGATGATCCTATCAGCCTGGATTTATCTATAGATGTAAGTTATATACGGGGGTATAGACATAAGTAATATAGACCAGTCTGATGTCAGCCTGGAATTATCTATATATGTAAGTAATATAGACCAATCTGATGTCAGTCTCGACTTATCCATAGATGTAAGTTATATAGACCAGTCTGATGTTAGTCTCGACTTATCTATAGATGTAAGTTATATAGACCAGTCTGATGTCAGCCTCGACTTATTTATAGATGTCAGCCTCGACTTATCTATAGTTGTTAGTTATATAGACCAGTCTGATGTCAGCCTCGACTTATCCATAGTTGTTAGTTGTATAGACCAGTCTGATGTCACCCTCGACTTATTCATAGTTGTTAGTTATATAGACCAGTCTGATGTCAGCCTCGACTTATCCATGGTTGTTAGTTATATAGACCAGTCTGATGTCACCCTCGACTTATCTATAGTTGTAAGTTATATAGACTAGTCTGATGTCAGCCTCGACTTATCTATAGTTGTTAGTTGTATCGACCCGTCTGATGTCAGCCTCGACTTATCTATAGATGTAAGTTATATAGACCAGTCTGATGTCAGCCTCGACTTACCTATAGTTGTAAGTTATATAGACCAGTCTGATGTCAGTCTCGACTTATCTATAGTAGTTAGTTATATAGACCAGTCTGATGTCAGACTCGACTTATCTATAGTTGTAAGTTATATAGACCAGTCTGATGTCAGCCTCGACTTATCTATAGTTGTAAGTTATATAGACCAGTCTGATGTCAGTCTCGACTTATCCATAGTTGTTAGTTATATAGACCAGTCTGATGTCAGCCTCGACTTATCCATTGACATACAGTTCTGATCCAACAACATGACACAATGTACAGTGTGCACAGTTACTGTAAGTACGAAAGAAAAGGGCGACAATAACTTGAGCATATCTTGGCACAAATGGACATGTGTAACCAACAATGTATGAAACACCCATGCAGGCCTGCTCTGTCCCGCTGCAGGATTGTAATTGGTGGGTAATGTACCCTTCTGCAGAATCAAGGGGGTTTAAGGTGTAATTTGCTATTAATTGCTATTTTTATGGATTTGGTTATTTGTGATTTTGTGTTATATTTCAGTGCAAAAATCCAGCAGTGGACTGGAAAGAAACATTCAGCATGGAAGTAGAGAGGAGAATGGTCGGTGGTTTTGACAAAGAAGTATTCATAACAGTCCAACAGGGCTACACAGACAACAAAAAATACAGAGTCAATGTAGGTACTGGGTCAACAGTGTTACACAGAGTCTATGTAAGTACTGGGTCAACAGTGTTACACAGAGTCTATGTAAGTACTGGGTCAACAGT